TGCCTAAATTTGTTTTAAATTGAAGTTAATCAAGTTTTATATTCAATCAGTTGTGTCAAAATCTATCAAAAATGCTAAAAAGTTAATAATAAAAATTATATGAAATTGCTTTAAAAATTCAATATATTAATTATTGTGAAAGACAAATTATGATTGATTTACTTACTAATACAATATTTTCAAATTAGATTTGACATCAAATGGTTTAAGTGATTTCCGCGCAAATCACGGGTAAAAAAATTAGTAATTTTAGTGTTTACATGTGAAAGTATATTTTGTGTAAATACAAAGCAAAAAATAAATAAAGGTATAGAGTCTATTATGTCAAACAATTTATTTATTTATAGAAGGGTGTGTATTACAAATTGGGCAAATTACACCAATAGTCCCTGTATTTTGATCATTGCGTCATTTTAATCTATGTAATTTTATTTAGCTCTATTTTGACCGGAATTTACAATAATTTTCTCTCAATTTAGTCCGATTGATTACAACTATTAGTATTTTTTAATAGAAAATGCGCATACAAGTAACATATGTCATACTTTTTTGGATAAAATTATAAACTTACTCAACTTAGTAAGTTAATTTTAACCAATTCCATGATCATTTTTCGTAAAAATACACTAACGTTATTATTAATTAGATTGTAAATTGACATAAATCTAAAATTAACGATCAAAATTGAGACAATTAAAAGTGTATGGATCAAAATGAGATAATAAACAAAATGTAAGAAATATCGATGTAATTTTCCCTATAAAATTTCTCTAAACAAATATAGAATAAACTCAAATTCGGACATAGAATGATGTTTTTTGAATTTTTGAAGGATTCAAAACTCAAATTTATTTTCAAACTTCTAGGCATTCACTTTTCTATCATTGGCACAAATAAAAATGGTAATAGCTTAAAAAATTCAATCCTTCCGAGTCCTTCATTGTGTGCCTTCCTTCCCTCGCAACCCCTCCAAGAGCAGATTCCATAAGATAAAAGGGTTTCACATCAGGTTACACTTCGTCCATTTTCACCTTTAAACAGACTTTCAATATATTTTTATCATATTGTTATAAAAACTAATGATAAATATGATTTTTCGAAAACACAACTGCTTATGTATTTGAAAGAAATAGGATAAATTACGTTTATAATCCCTGTATTTTGGTCTTTCTGTCACTTTGCTATCTATAATTTAAATTGGCTCAATTTTGATCATAAATTTATGATTTTGTCTCAATTTAATCAAATTGCTTACAATTTTAGCATTTTTTAATAAAAATATGCATATATGTGACATGTGTAATGCTTTTCAAGGTAAAATTATAAACCTATTCAATTCAATTAGTTAACTTCAATCAATTTAGGGATAATTTTCTATCAAAAGCACTAACGTCGTTATCAATTGGACGAAATTGATACAAAATTCAAAATTAAGGGTCAAAATTAAACTAAGTGAAAGTGTAGAGACCAAAATGACACAAAAGGCAAAATGTAGGGACTATAGGTCTAATTTTTCCAAATAAATATAAAAAAAAAAGATAAATTACAAATACACACTCTGATATTTGTTTAAAATCCGAATTGTCACATGTGCTTTTAAAAATTATAAATACTCACTTGTTAGAATTTTTATTTAATAGAATTAACAGAAAAAATAAAATTTCTAACTACTATCATATACAATAATAAATTCTCTAAATTATTAACTAAAATATATTTCTAATATCGTTAAAAATTGTTAATTAAATTCATTATTTATTATTAATAATATGGGTCATTTGTTATGCAATTAAAAATTTGAAAGAGCGGGGTGTAATTTTCAGAATCACAAGAATAATTTGTATTTTAAACAAATCTTAAAGAATATATTTATACTTTACCCATAAATATTATGTAACTATGATTATTAGATTAATATGAATTTTGTATGGGGGTGCAAATCGATCAGGCCGGGTTGGGCTCAATGGGTACCCAAACCCTGCCAAGTAATGTTAAAGAGTTGCCGAGGCCCAACGTCCTAGCTCAAGGTGTCCATTCAAAGCCCAGTCCATGTTTAATAAATTTATTAGATCCGGTTGTCCACGAAAGTTTGGAATGAGATTGTGATTATTTTTCGGATCATAATTGTTTTGGATATGATTATAAGTTAGTTTTTTTTTCTTATTATAAAAAGATGTGTAAAAAAATAAAGAGGTGATATAATCTAAATAAATAAATAAGCCAATATAAACTGACTTTTTTAGATGTTGCCAAAAGAAAATATTTGGGCTTGTTAACTTATCTTGGATCAGTTGTAGTACTCTTTTTTATCAATTGAATACTTTAAAAATGGTTTTGGAAAAACTGTGCCACACTTGTGACATTTAATCCAATACCCAATTGTTTTTTAAAAATAATATAAATAAAAAATCAAATAACCAACTATAGTATTTTGGCACAATCAAAAAAAATAAATAAACAAATAAAAAATCGTTTCATCACTTCAATCCTAAAGAAAATGAGAGAGAGGAGATCTAATGGTCAACGAGAGAGGAGAGGGTGATATATATTTTTTTAGGGCAAATTACAAACACCCTCTCGAGGTTTGGTAAAAATACAAATTTTTCCCTGAGGTTTGAGAAATTACATCCCACCCCCTGATGTTTACATTTTCATAACAAATTGCCCCCTGAGGTTTTTATTTTCATACAGATTCCTTCCTAATTTTTCCTAATTTGTTATGAAAATTTGACCCTTATGGGGTAATTTGTAATTTCTCAAACCTCAAGGGGAATCTGTATTTTTACTAAATCTCGAGGGAGGTGTTTGTAATTTGCCCTTTTTTTTTTTTAATAAGGAAAGTCTATGGTGTACACCTTATCATAAATTGACATAATTTTATCACAAAAATTTAATAACATTAATTATAAAATCCATAATTTCACCACAAATCAACAAAACAAATTGCCCACAATTTTATGGTTGATGTTACAAAAATTTATGATATTTTTTGTTACATTAATTTATGTCAAGATTATATATATATATATATATATATATTGTGATTGAAATTATGAAATTTTATAATAAAATTACATAAATTTGTAATAAGGTGCATGTAGGATGCACCCTAAAGGGTGCACACCATAGAATATGTCCTAGACTTTAAAATCTTATAAAGTAGTGCAGCTTTATATTTGTGTAAAATTTAGATAATGGGACACCTACTATAAACCTTAAAAATTACTTGATCAGAAAGTGTAATTGAACCTAATCTCAAAGTGATTTTTGATGATTTTGAATATTACTCTACGCTATTTATTTTGCAATATTTAATTTTATTATTATTTTTTTAAAACCAACATAAAAATAATGAGTCTTATTATTTCAAGGCCACAGCTTCTCTCCACTCAACGCACCATTCATATTTAATAAATTTAGATCCGTCGTCCACGAAAGGATGGAATGAGATTTTGATTATTTTTCGGGTGAAAATTAGTATGTTTTGGTTTTGTTAACTTATCTGGATAAGTTGTAGTGCTCCTTTTATCAATTTTTTATTTTATTTTTTTTATTGGATAAGTTGTAGTGCTCCTTTTATCAATTGAATACTTAAAAAGGGTGATTCTATTTGCAAACAAAAAAATTATTAGGTAAATTATCAATATATCTTAATAATTAGATTTTTCTATCATATTCTATTGAAAATCAGTTCTAATAAGATTATTATTAAAAATACTTTTTTGTGATATTTTTTACATGTCCTCAAAAATTAATAATTAGCGATTTTTTTTTTATCATGATTTTTATAAATGACGCTAAAACTTACAATTAATAAAGTTTTCTGTGACAAATTTTTCACACTGTCACTAAAAGTTGAAAATTAACGACTTTTGTGTGATGATTTTTTTAAACTGTTGATAAAATTTATAATTAGTGACATTTATTATGACAATTTTTAAACTATCGCTGAAAATTAACAATTAATGACTTTTTTTAAATATGTTTGATGAAAAATGTCATTAATTATCATAAGACCTATTGGATAATAAGTCCACACTATAACAAAATGCACATTTGGTGACTAAATTTTTAGTCGTCAAAAGTACAATTTTTAGTCGCCAAATGCTTTGCCCGACTAAATATTTTGGTCGCTAGACTGGTCGCAAAAAACTTGTGGGGGAAGGTATTGGCGACTAAATATTTTTTAGTCGCCAAAAGTCCTATAAATGGCTACTAATATTTTTAGTCGCCTAAAATAAAATTTTAGTCACCAAAAATCTTACTTTCCGCTACTAAACTTTGGTCGCCAAAACTAGAAGTATCTATGCCGACCAAAGTTTTAGTCGCCAAAGGGTTTTTTTCATCTTTTTATTTTTTTTTTTCATTTTATTTTTTTAGCTACTAAATTCTTAGTCGCTTAAAGTCTGCTTTTATTTTAGCTACTAAATATTTAGTAGCCAAAAGTTTTTCTCCATTTTATTTTTATTTTTAGCTACCAAATATTTAGTAGCCAAAACTTTTTTCCCATTTTATAAATAAAATTATCTATATATACTGATAAAATTAGCAACCATTCCACAACACACACACATTTCACTTTCAACCATAAAAAAAAAAAATCATATTTAACATCAAATTAATATTTCCAAAAAAAATTCTATACAAATCAAGTATAATTCAATCTCAAAAATATAATTCCATACATAACAGAGGATTAAACAAAATTAATATCTAATTGTTAATTTGACAAGAAACCAACTAACAAAAACACCAAAAACATAAAAAGCAAAATAAAATAAAATAAAATAAAAGCTAGTGATGAAGCCAGCTGCAGTCCAACCCTCAAAGCAATTATTGAAGCAAAGCCAAAAGCTGCATATTCACTGCAGTCCAACCGTTGCAGTGCAATGACTGTCTTGGAACCAATGCAGTCGAGTCACCAGAGTCGATCCTCACCCTTTAGATTTCGATAAACTACGGCCCAAGAAAGCCTTGTCTACATATTCACACCAGAGGAATGCAAAAATCATAACTGCATACATGTCACCAAGTTGCCAAAATCTTTCCAATTGTTTTTTCCATTAGGACCCTTTATTAAGCATCAAACAATGGGAACAACAACAAAAACAACAACAATGCATTTTATTTTTCTCTAAACATTCATCGGTTATGGAAGCAATCACCATCCAAAATCTCTTCACGGCTGGCTTCACTATCTATTCTCTAAACTCAAGGTGACTCTATACTTCTAACAAACTTCTTAGCTTGTTATTAGAAAAAAGAACAAACAAGAAAAAAATTAGCAACCTAACAAAGGAAATCAAGCTTCATTTTCTTGACACTGCCAAAAGTGACCACATTAAAGATAAGCCTACTATTGAACGGTTTCTTAGAAAGTGGCTAGGAGAGAGTGTATATCTCAGAAAAAAGGAATTACAATCCAAAAAGAAATGAAGCAAAACCACAAAACTATCATCGCTCGAGTTTGTAGCTTTTACCTGCTCCAAGGTCAGAAACATGATCACATTCCAAGATCCTAACCGTCCAAAATTTGGGATAAAGCCCTTATAGAAAGCAAAAGGCCCCTGCGTAACATAGCAAGTAATATTGAGACAGTTGAAATACAATATATTGCATTTTCAAGATAGGTTCCAATAAAATGCTAGACTAAAACAACTCTATCTTAACTAAGAGACAAACAAGAGCATAGACATTACCTTACAGTAAAATATTTTTCTGTTTATTTAATTACAGTTGGTCGTAAATAGGGGAGGAAAGTAACTATATATATATATGACAATCCATTTTATTCTCTCTTTGAGTATATTAGGTATTTGTAGAAAGGCACAAAAGCTTTCAAAAGAAAACATCTTGTCAAATCATCATGTTCTTTCATAAATATTGAAGAAAAATGATGAACAATGTATCAAAACAGGGTAGAAAGATGATGAACTTACATCGTTCTTCAAAGTCTTGATGAAACAATCAAGAGTACTTTTATATGCAGAAGAATCCCCCATCATTCTTGACTTAACCTGCAGCATTTAATTATGTAGATTTGCATTGTTAAGCCACATGCAGATCATACCCAGTCTCAATCCAAGTATACTTTCAAGGAAGTAAAATTTGAGTAAACCACCATTCCACTGGTCTATAATTAAAAGCATTGATCAATAGGATATAGATGCCAATGAGAATTTATGATATTTTGGCAAAACAACATACAAGGTTACAATATATGGAATTGACATATGTTTCTCCATGATTACAAGACCAATGCTTCTGAATAAATATTTCCTTTTATTTCAACTTCATTTAAATGAGACAAATCAGATCATGATTACAAAAAGAGAAAAAAAGAAAAAAGAAAAAAAAAATCATATTAACAACTTCTTACCATCTAACTTGCAAATTATCAACTCTTCACACTTAAGATTGTTAAGAAACAAAATAAAAATCTATCTACTTATCTCAACAGCTAGGAAGAGTGATATGATCATCGTAAATGGAAATGGGCATATGCAAAGGGGTAAAAAAGTGAACAGATAACTACCAAATCCAATGTCTTTGAAAGAGAGATGGAGTGTTGCAGCAGAAATTGACAGAGCAAAGTATAGCAGGGGGGGAAAATGAACTTGTTTAATTCAATTGAGCATATAGCTCTTGATAGAGCGGAGTAGCAGAAAAGGATTTATGTTACCGACTTCATTTGATTGGGAAACAAGGCTTAGTTTCGTTTGGTTTGCTTTATCTCAACTATATACCAAGAGGTATTTCGAAGTTCAGACCATGTTTTGGTTTGAAATCTTCCACTATCAAGATACAAGCACAATATATATAAACAGTTGACAGTCTAAAAATAATAATAATTTGAATACAATTTTGTAAAGCATCATATGTAGATAATGAACAACAAAAACAGAGGCTACACTTCACAATCTAGAGAACTTGCCCTACCTATGTGTTACACCCTATGTAACAAATGTAATACCGTTGTAGCAATGCGCCAATACCAACAGTGGCATAGAGTGGTGGTCGGTCTGAATAAAATCACCAGAGACTAAAAACCAAACGAAAATGAGCAGTTCAATTCGTCAAATCAACAATTAGTTCAACTACAAAATCTTGCTCATAATATTCTGAAACCACCAAAAAAAATAGAACAAACTTGCTAATTGTGCGGACAAAAAGCCTAATCCCATAAGTAGAATAAAATTGCATCATCAGAAATCAGAACCACATTTTCTTCTTTAAATTGTAATATGCATCAAAGGCTTGACCTGCTAGTGCAGACTACACAGCCTTATCATATCCCCATGCTAACGTAGCAGTCAATAATTCACATCAAAGTTTTGAAATCCACCCCTTCTTTTTCTTTTCTCTCCCTTTCTTTCATTTCCCTCCAAAAAGAGGAAAATCAAAACAAAATTTGGGTGGGGAGTGAGTAAAAAAATATTATTTAATTATCTAGAGAAAAGACAAAAACCAAACTTCAACTTAAGTGAACATTATAACAGTAAGGTTGGGATTGATTATCTATAGAGAATTATGGTTTTTCCAGCATTGTCAGGACCAAGAAAGAGTTTGTTACCAAAAAGCGAAGAGAGTAATCGAGTAAACACAATCCCCATTCTCAATCTCCCTTAGATGGAGAATCAAAAGGACCAATCAGATCTTTAAGATCCCCACAAAAAACCTCTGAATATTTTGAGAGAGAGAGAGAGAGAGAGAAAGAAAGCATACGTGAGACAGAGCATCAATAGAGCAGAGTTCATCTCAACGATGAAGCTTCTGGATCTCACGGCGGTGGATCTGTGAAGATCGGCAGAGGAGGAAGAGGCGGCAGCGTGAAAAGATCGGCGGTACTCACGATGACGATGACGATGGCGATGGCGATGGCGATGGCGATGGCGATGGCGATGGCGGAGGAGGAGGAGGTGCTCCGGTTTCCATCGAAGGCGAAGAAGAGCGGCAGTGAGAGAGGGAGGGGAGAGGAGTAGCGGAGACGGGGAGGGAGGGGGAGAGGGAGAGGGACGCTGAAAATAGAGAGAGAGAGAGAGAGGCGCAGATTATTTAGGGTTTGGTTTGGTACAAAATATATATATATATATATATATAATGCTCCGGTTCCCGGCAACCGCGGGGGAAGGGAGAGGAGCATCGGAGAGATAGAGAGACGCTGAAGATGAAGAGAGAGAGAGACAGAGGCGTTGGTAAAATTTTGGAAACCAAATATATATATATATATATATTACACCATTAGCGACTAAATTTTTTAGTCGCCAATTACTTTTATAAATCCCTCAAATTTAAATTAGAAATGTCTCCCTCCAATTTTTTATTTTTTGGTGACTAAACTAAGTTTTGGTCGCTGAAAATATGTTTTGGCGACTAAACTTTTGGTCACCAAAGATAGTTTTTTTTTTTTTTAATTTTACATTTGGTGACTAAATATTTTAGTAGCCAATACCTAATATACGGCGACTAAACTAATTTTTGGTTGCTGAAAACATGTTTTGGTGACTAACCTTTTGGTCGCCAAAAGATAAAAAATAAATTTATAATTTTACATTCGGCGACTAAATATTTTAGTAGCCAAAACTCAATATATAGCGACGAATTTTTTTTTTGTCGCCAATTCGAGTATTTTTAGCAACTAAATTATTTTTTAGTCGCCAATAATCAATATATCCCGGCTAAAAAAATTTAGTAGCTAAATTTTATACTTTTGGCGACTAAATTTGTTTTAGTCGCCAATTTTAGTCGTCAAATATGTATTTTGTTGTAGTGCCATCTACTAGAACCTACATGTAAATCCCCCAAAATCATTTAGTATACGCAATTTCTCAGTACCCTCTATTAAAATATTTAGGGTTATAATTACTCTAAATGCACCTTATATTTTTTTTTCATAAATTACTTTTAAGATAGAATCATAATTTGTGGTACACCCAAATAATAATAAAAAAATCAATTAAAAAAATAATTCCTCCATCTGTTCCTCTCTCCTTGATAGTACTCTTTTGAAATCAACGAATGTTCAATGCAATAGATTGTTTCAAACTTTAATTGACAATCCACGATTTTGTTTTTTTTTCTTTTTTGATAATCTGGTGTCTGGGCTAGCTTACGTGTGCCTCAATTAATCCCGGGACCCTGAAGTTAATGATCGGGGAAACCTCTAATAGCTTGAAGGTTTGAAATGTTTGACCTTCGTGAAATTCAAACTTACGACCTCTTAGATGGTAAAATTTTGGTTGCCTTCTCCTCCCACTAAGCTAAACCCCTTAGCTTGCCTTTCTCTCCATGATTTTCAGACGTGCAAAATCGAAACGACTGGGTATTCAAATTTAACGCATCCAATACAGTCGATGCCACTTTGAGAACACGAAAAGACCCATCAACCATAATGCATATACGTAACAAATTTCCATTGATGACTTCTTTGAATCTAACATTTTTTTAAGATGTTTCACACACCAGAGGAGAACATGTTTGATGGGTGGCGTTACGGACAAGCATTTTTTCAGTCAAGATTGAGTAGTTGTTGGGAAATTTTGGCTGTGAATTTTTTTTTTTTACTTGATAGTATTCAAAGTTGAATTAGTTTCAAGTTAGTTTCTTGCCCATAAAAAAGGATAAAAAAATTACTGTCTTGTTTAATTTCCCACAGGAAGACACTGAGATAGTGCATGCACTGGGTAAATGCTTATCAGTTCTCGATTTCATGGTCCAGAGTCCTACGTAGTACGAGTTTTTCAAATTTATCTCTATTAGTTTTGTTAATCTCATTGGCTCTTGTTATTTGATGATTTGATGATATTTGTTTGTGAGTTGTGTGATAGGAGGGAGACTTGGAGAAGTTAATCTGAATGGGGTCATGTTCTACAACAATATTAAAGATAATCTCTTACTCAAAGGTACAATCTCCTCTCTTGAGGGCCAACATCAAGAGATATGAATAAGACGTATAAGTGATTAGGATTAAGGTATATTAAAGATTTTGAAAAGTGGTTACAATCGCCATAACGGTTGTAGTGGTACGGTAGCGGTTGTAGGGTGTAATGGCCGTAGTGTAATAGTTGTGGTAACCGTAACTGTGATTTTTTTCCGGCACAATTTGAAGAAAACTTACTGATACGCATATATATATATATATTTCATAATTACATTTATTGGGGTTTAAAATAAATTTTGATCAATATTTGTTAATTTTTAAATATGATCCAATATATTTCATATTTTAAAATCATTATAAAATAAGCTTTTTACATTTTATTTCAATAGTTAATGATTTTAAGAATAATTGATTTTAAATATCTACAAATTTTTTTTTTATCAATACCTGAACTAACTGAATAAAAAATATTCACAATTCTTAAATGAATGGATTATAAAATAAAATGTGTCATAAATTAAAAAAATTATAAAAAAAAATTCATATGAGATCTTTTCTTTGGGCTTGGATCACTTGTATTTGTTCCTTTTTTGTAAGTTTTTTTATTTTATTTTATTTATTTATTTTTTATTTTTTTGGGAAAAAAGAAGCTATTCAAAATATTGTAAAATGGTGTAACGATATCTAACGGACTGTTGTGGTCGTTATATAACACCGAAATAGCCATTACACATGTGAATTTCCGTCACACCGCTATAACGGCCGTAACTGGTAGCGTAACCACCATAACCGTTATGTAACGGCGTTATGTAATGGTTGTGGCCACTTTTTAAAACTTTGAAGGAAAAAAAATTATTTTAAAAGTTAATGTATATTGTCCTTATTAATATATTTATATTAGAATATAATAGAATTTAAAATTTCAAAATTTTAATTTCACATACTAAATTACTATTTTGATGTAAATAGAATCACCCCCTAAGAAAATGATTTTGGAAAAACTGTGCACACTCTGACATTTAATCCGATAACCAAAAATCTTTAAAAAATAACATGAATAAGAAATCAAATAACCAACGCACAATCTAAAAAAAGAGGGTGGTTTCATCACTTCAATTCCAAAGAAAATGAGAGATCTGATGGTCAATGTGAGAGGAGAGGGTGTGTTTTTTTAATTTATTATATGAAACAGAAGAGAAATTTTATTTCCACACACATGATTGGCTCAGAGTACACACTTAATGAAATATTAATTTAATGATAATTATATTGTATGTAAAAATGATTATAATAGACATTCAGCAACACTTATAATATAAAAAAATTCTTTATACATATTTTTAAGAACAAAAAAAATCTCAATATACACCTTTGGTCTCCCCCGTCATTGCGTCTCTCTCTTTCTCTTAATTGGTCACTGGAAGGCTGAAGCTTCACAGTCAGAGGAAGAAGATAAATTCGAACTGCAGAAAATCGTTAGTCGTATCTATCTCCTCTCTCTGTGTATATATATTTATATATACAATCATATATTTTTTTCTCTGATTTTACTTTTCTTTGATTTTTGTGTTTTCTCAGATTTTTAACTTCGGCTAGTTTTTCAATTGCACCTCCTCAATCATCAATGTCAGGTTTTCCAAAGTTCAAATTTTTCATAGCTAATTATAATAGTTGTAATAATATATATACATATAAATGTAATAATAAAATAGAAAGATTTCTTACCTTCAACAAGGGTTTTTAATGGTTATTTAATGGAGGTCTTCAAGGTCTTCAATGGAGGTGAGGAAAGTTCACAGACTTTTTTTCTTTTTTCTTTTTTTTTTTTTAAACGAAACTTATTTTGATCTTCACTTTTGTGGGTGGAACTAGAAATCTGAAGTAGGGTCAATAAAAGTGTGTGTACCATGGTTATAAATGAAGGATGTAATTGTAATTTTAAGAGTGTGAATTGAGAAAATTAATTAATAATCAAATTAATGTGTGTGTATTAAGAAAAGATGTGCCTTGAGTTAATTAGGTACGTGGAAATAGAATTTCCCGAAATATAGTACTAAACTTGGACTTGACTTGCACGGATTGCTTGAAACTTTTGCCCAAGCCCAAGCCCAAGCCCAAGCCCAACCCAACCCAACCCAATTTACATTCAAGAAATTAATTTTAACTTAGGCCTCGTTTGAGAACAGATTTTTTTAATAACTTTTTGACTTTTTGGCTAAAATATGATATAAAAAAAAATTAGTATGTTTGAGATGACTTTTTGATTTTTTATGAAAAGATGTGCAAAAAGTAGAGAAAAAAGAGAATCTTTGACTTTTTGGCTTAGGTTGTTGGCTTTTTGATTTTTTTAGGCCTCATTTAGCAAGTGGTAATTTTAGCTAAAAAATTAAAAAGTTACTAAAAAAATCAAAAACCAACAATCTATACCAAAAAGTCAAAGATGCTCTTTTTTCTCTACTTTTTGCATATCTTTTCGTAAAAAATCAAAAAGACATCCCAAAAATACTAGTTTTTTTTTTACATCATATTTTAATCAAAAAGCCAAAAAGTTATTAAAAAAAAGCCTATTTTCGAACGAGGCCTTAGTGACTTTTTTACTTTTAACTTAAAAAGTGATATTACCAAACGAAGCCTTAGACTCAAACTTGTGATGCAACATATACAATCAAAATATTAAAATTTAAAGGGTTGGGGATTAAATTGTTCTGATTAAGCCTGTCAAAATTGTTTCCCTTCTATTGTAAAAGAGCTATGTCTACAATTTTTTATTTTATATCTCAAAATATTAAGAGAGATTGTAACACTCGTGATGGCGTGATAAATTATAGGTCTTAGACCTTTTTTTTTCTTTTTTTTTTTAAAATGTAATATAGATCTTAGATTTTGAAATCTGATAAAGTAGTGGAATTTTATATTTGTATAAAATTTTTTAGATAATGTGACACCCACTGTAAATCTTAAAAATTGTTTAATCAGAAAGTGTAATTGAATCTAATCTGAGAGAGGTTTTTTGATGGTTTTGGGTTATTACTACACATTATTTACTTTGTGATACTTATCCTATTATCCCTCAAAGCCAACATAAAAATAGTGGATCTTATTATTTCAATTAAAAAAATAAATAAATTAAGTCACCATATAAATTTACGACTCCACTATGTAGCTCAAAAACGAGCCCCCCAAATCGCCCGAAATTGAAAAAGGTGATTTTTGAATGTTTGGCCCAGTTGCAACATTGGTCAATTGACACCACGCGCGAGAAATAAAAGAAAAGAGAGAAGATGAGAGAGAGAGAGAGAGAGAGAGGAACCAGTCGAAGAAGAATAGGTGAGAGCGATCACCGTTGAGATCGACCGGTGCTAACACTACCGACCTAGGTGACTACCGACGACCAGCGGAAAACTCTGCCGAGCGTCAATGTGTTGTTCGCCATTCGAAAATCTATGCCCACTATCAGTGCTCTTCGTCGACTAGCGAAATACCACTTCGACGTCAATCTGGATTACTCACTGTACTCATCGTCCATCCGTCAATCTCTAAATCTTGCCGTCCGTCAATCTCGGAATCTCGCCGTCCGTCTTGAATCTGCTGGGGCGTTTTTTTGTTTTTTTTCTTCATATAAATTTTTATTTTTTTTGTTAAGCTTGAATGTGGGGATTAGAAGAATGGTTCTCTATGTTTGGGTCTATATGGATAGATGATTTCAATTAAAAAAATCTGTTTTGGGTCTATATTTGTTCTTGTTGATTTTCTATGTTTTGACAAGGGATTAGAAGACCATATTAAGGAATGCAGACCATATTTGTTGTATAGCTTGGCTCACTTATCTTGAATGGAATTTCCAAATTTTTCATCAGTTAGTTGCATGTTTTCTAGACTTCTAAGCACAGCACTTTGCAATAGCAAAGTAAAACTGCTATGTGTGTGATGTATAGCTATATAATTCTTCTGCTATGTGTGATGTATATGTGTGTTTTGGGATGTGTCCATAGCTGAATCTGTGTGTATACAAATTGTGATTTGAATCTGTCTATAGCTGAATCTGTTTTGGCATGTGTGATGTATACAAAGTTGCAGTTGCCTTATTCTTCTATAGTTGAATCTGTGATGTGCCTAAATCTGTAGTGGTTATATTTGTGATGTACTCACTGAATCTGTGATGTCTCTAAGTGGTGTTTAACATCCACTTTAACCTTATTTATGTGAATCTGTGATGTCTGAATCTGAATTTAAGTGGTGTTTAACATCACTGAATCTGAATTTGTGAATCTGTGATGTCTCTAAACTTATTTATGATTTGTCGTGCATTTTAAAATCCACTTTCATTCTACTGATTTTATACAAATTACAGTAGAGTGTTTCACACTTTGCATTTGAGTTTGAAGGTACAATGGACATTGATTCAAACAATCCTACATTGAGTGGGAGTGAGGAAGTTGAGGAACTAGAGAACAATTCTTTATTAAATGAGAGTGGTGAAATTGAAGAACCTAAGAAGGGGATGTGTTTTACCTCAAAGCAAGAAGTGCATGAGTTTTATGCAAAATATGCTAAAAACCTTGGATTTGCTATAGCTTACAGAACACATAACATTGGAGCGGATGGAAAGGTGAAATACTTTGGAATTGAATGTACTCGGGCACATTCGAGGACAAAAAGATCAGAAGTAAACCCCTGAAACCATCTTTGTCATCAAAAATTGATTGTAAAACAAAGGTAAGAGCAACTTTACAACAGGATATAAGATAGAAGTTAACTATAGTTATGCTTAAGCATATGCAAGTTTTAATTCCTAGTGGCTTACGACATTTTCCAATGAATAAGAGGATTCGTACTCCTGTGAAGAGAAGATTAGAAATAAACGATGAAGTAGGAATAGGGGTGTCTAGGAATTTTCATTCTATAGTTGTTAAAGCGAGGGGATGTGAGGCATTAACATTTGATGAACGAGATTCAAGGAACCACATTGAAAATGCTAGAAGATTGAGGCTTGGGGTAGGAGATGCCAAATTAGTTGCATTTTATTTTCATAGGATGCAACAAGAAAATTCAAACTTCTATTCTGCAATTGACTTTGATGTAGATGGTCGCATACGAAACTTGTTTTGGGCGGATGCAAGGAGTAGGGCGGCTTATAAAGCATTTGGGGATGTTGTCTCATTTGACACCACCTATCTCATAAACAAGTATGATATGCTGTTTGCTCCGTTTGTAGGAGTTAATCACCATGGACAGTCAATCTTTTTTGGTTATGGGCTATTATGTAATGAGAACATGGAGACATTTGTTTGGCTATTCAAAGAATGGTTAAAGTGCATGTCAGCCACTCCTCCAAAAGCTATTATAACTGACCAGTGCAGAGCTATGCAAAATGCCATAGAATTTATCTTCCCACAGGGTCGACATCGTTGGTGTTTATGGCATATAATGAAGAAAATTCCCAAGAAATTGAGAGGATATTCCCAATATGAAGCCATCAAATTCGCCTTACAAAATGCAGTGTATGATTCATTCACAAAAGATGAATTTGATGAGGAATGGAAAACGATGATTGAAAAGTTTAGCCACCATGAGAACGAGTGGTTGGGGGTATTATATGGTGAGCGACATAGGTGGATTCCTACCTATGTAAAAGATATATTTTGGGTTGGCATGTCAACTACATAACGAAGTGAGAGCATGAATGCATTTTTCGATGGCTATGTAAACTCAAAGACTACTTTAAAGCAATTTGTTGAATAGTACGACAATGCATTGAAAAGTAAGGTGGAGAAGGAGACCAAAGCAGACTTCAAATCTCGAAACAAATTATATGATTGCTTAACGGTGTATGAGTTTGAGAAGCAATTTCGTGCAGCCTACACAAATGTGAAATTTAAAGAAGTTCAAGTATAATTGAAGCGACTACTGTATTGTCATGCGACTCTTGTGAAGGAGGAGGGATCCATTTGTACTTATCATGTCAAGGAGGCTGTGCTTGTGGTTGAGAAAATGAAGAAAGTTGAATTTCTTGTTTACTTTAATTCAACTGAATTTGAAATGTAATGTGTGTGTCGGTGGTTTGAGTTTAGGGGGATCATGTGTGCCCATTCCCTTAGTGTGCTCATTGAGAGGTGCATATATGAGGTTCCAGATAAGTACATTATACCGAGATGGAGAAAAGATTTGGAAAGAGGGTACACATGTATTTTAACGACATACACGAAATATGGGGCTGTCCTCAATGCAAAGGTACATGATAACTACCACAAGACATTGGAAGAAATTATAGACATTGCTTCCAACGATGATGGTAAACACAAAGCTATTCAACTTGGGGTTGAGAGAAATCAAGGAAAGAGTCAGAAAAGATTAATCTGGTTGTGCGAGTAATGTGCCACCTTCTAGTAGAAATGTGCCACCTTCTAGTAGCACTCGCAAGGTGCTTAGTCCTTTGGTTGCTCGCCGAAGAGGCCGTCTATGTACGAAACAGAAGGTTAGCAAGGTGGACGAAATAGTGAATAGGTTGAAGGGAAAGAATAGAAAGGCACAAAAAGTCCAGGTATATTTTTTATTTTCTGCTTGTATGTAAATTTCAGAATTTTTTTTTGTCAAACTTTTTCACCAATGTGTGTTACTATAGGGTCGTAAGATGGGTCAAGGTGAACCTCGTAAGTTGAATTTTGGTTGTACGGACAGCATGGAAGACAATACGTACGATCGGGTATGTGTTTCATGGTCTACTACTATTTTTTGTATGATATTTATTTCAATGTTTGAACTTATTAATGAAATTTTGTTATTATGTATCATAAGGTGCCGCAAGCTCAATCCTACTATTTTCCTCGTATGGATGAGACACAAAAGAGTATGTATGTACCGATATGTTTTGATAATATCACACCTCAATAGTTTTGCTTCTTCTGATTTAAAAATATGTTTATAAGAACAGTTTTTAATATTAGTTACTTTGGCATTGAATAGGCACAAGATAGCGCATTGCAAATGGTGGACAAAATTAGAAGTGTATCTTTGAGTGAATCAGGAATGGGGAATATAGATGGTTCAACTTTTGTGGACTTGAGTATAGATGTGGATCCAAACGCTCCATGTTTTTTATAAAAGTTTCGTACTATGGTATTTATCACTTTGGTTTGTAAATTTGGGATACTTTTGTGGACTTTTGCGTTGGATACAATTTGGTGATGTTATTTTGCTTAATTATCAGTGAAAGTTTAATTGGATAGCTTTGGTGATGTTATTTTGGTTATTTTGGACAACAGGTCATGTTTGTTAAACAGGTCATGTTGTGGTTATTTTGGACATCAGCTCATGTTTTGTAACATGTCATGTGGGTTTGAATAGGTTTTGTTTCTTACCAACAGGTTCTGTTTTGGTAACAGGTTTGTTTTGTTTCTTGCCAAGCTCATGTTTTGAAAACTTGACCTATTCTCATGTTTTGAACCTGTTGGCAAGAAATTCAGTTACAATGCATATATTGGTAACAGGTTTTGTTTTGGATACATTAGAAATTTACAATGTGGCATGTGGGTTTTGAACAGGTTCTGTAAATGATGAATTTGTGCTTTGAACATGATTTTGAACAAGTTATGTTTTGAACAGATTTTGTTTTGATGAATTTCTGCTTTGAACAAGTTCTATTTTGATTACTCAGGGAATCTGTCAAGTTATGTTGGGAATAGGTTATATTTTGAACAGGTTCTGTAAATGATGAATCAATATATGCATTGTAATTGAACAGATTCTATTTTGATGAATTTCTGCTTTGAATAGGTTCTCTGTTTTTGTAGTGTTTTGTATAAATGAGATATTCCTGAAAGTAGAATTTTGTTTTGTGGGTTACCACGTTGCTGATATGGGAAAATAAGATTGCTTAGTTGAGGGAAATCAATGTTTGGAACTGTATTATAATTTGTGCATCTTGTATAGTGTTAAATATACGAGTATGACCTTGTTTAGAGAACATTGGTTGCTGCTCTTGCGGTTTTTAGAGTTGAACTTCAAAGTAAATTATGTTGAGAGTCAATGGTTATATATCCTAACTGTATTTCAAGTTAACTAGGCATTTTGTGGGAATTGAGTGGAAGATAGTGTTCAGTCACCGAGTTTGAATACCTTTTCATGCCACATACTAGGGCAGATTTTAGTTGATTCCACAAATCAAATCAATCTTGGTGTATGTGAAAAGCATAACCGAAGGAAGTGAGGGAGAATACTTTTCTCATCTTTTCCTAACATATTACTACTCATAAATTACTACTCACATTCTTGCCAACAGATTAGTACTCACATTCAACAACATATACTCCTAATCTACATCAACAACAATTGAAAACATAATAGGTTTTTCATTACCCACATTGAATGAAGCACAACACATACCCACAATCCATCAAGTCCATTCAATCCATAAGTACATCCATCAAATTCTCCAAAAGCTATCAACTCAGTAATTTACATTATAAAATAAAAAACAATACAAAATACAATGACATAAAGCATCACATTCAATTTCTTCTCAGCCTTCTACCATGCTCCTGAAATTCATTATCCATCTCATAAACCCTTGCGCTTAGATCATTAAATTCGTCGCTTCTTATAGATTTATGAGGTGCAACATTGGAGATCATGTCTTCGTCATTATCATTTGCGAACTTGAAGTAATTGCAGTGTTCCTTACTAATCTACAATGCATGACAATTAGTTAATCAAATCAGGCTAATAAATTTCCAAACAAATTTACAAACAAATTTCTGTACTGCTTACATATTTGAATGGACAAACAAAGAACAAACGCCCTTTATTTCCATTCTCATTGGTTCGGACAATGTACATGGCAGTTGTTCTCCCACAATCACACAATCTTTGTTTCAATCTTATGTTGCTATTGTTACTAGAGGAACAAGCCATTTTTTAATCTGCATACAAAATACAAAACAGAGACATGATACATACATAGCTATTATTGCTACTGTTGATACATACATAGCTACTGTTTTATTAATGTTATTAAAACCCTGTCCTTTTTTAATTGCTAAATATGCAGCCAGCTTCATAAGCATACCCATATCCAGATAAAGCCATTTTATATATCTTAAACTATGAGAAGGAACAATATCAAATGGTTAAAAGCATGAGCATCTAGAGGAATATCATGGTATTATAAAAAACTAACTCTTAATAAAATCAAATAAAACAGAAGCACTAACCATAATGCTTATGATCATGTATTCCTGATGTTCCGTGTCATGTTCTAACCAACATTGGTGAAGATTTAGTATACCTTATTTGACTAAATTAATGTCGGGCGAGGCTCAATAATATCACCATCACAATGACAAACATCATAAAACAGCAGAAACACCTCTTGCAATTATTCTTTGTGCATTAAAACAAATGGAGATAAGACATACACAAGACACTTCTCAATATCATCAACCTTTTCAAATAATCAAAACCAATTGTCATTTCATTCATTTGTCAACCAGGACTAGGAGTAGAATAGTGAAATACTCAGAGCAAACAGCATAACCTAGTACTCTCCAAAGAGTCAGAATGGTTGAGGTATTACTCAAAAGGGGTAAAGTCAGATAGTGTTTAAGAATGCTCAAAACTTAGAAACACAAACACAACCCAAAATATATCAGATAAATTGATAAATTGATTAGAAACACAAACACAACACACTAAACCCAAACAAAACTAACCCAACACACTGAAAATACAATCGGACATTCTCAAATCTTAGAAACACAAACACAGCCATCATCAAAAGCAGAGAGAAAGGGGGAGAGGCAAAAGCAACCTTCAATGACCCATTAGGAGAGGCTTGAACTTGATACCTTAACTGTTATGTTCAAACCTCAAATTGAGACATCAAAACCTCATCAATCCTATTAGCTCATGTCTGACTCAATCAACAGATATCCCACAATGCCCAAACAATCAACATAATGGCCAATCAAAATCAACACAACAATCAAAATTGAAGGCAAAACCCATAATGCCCAAACCCTAACAAACAATCATAACCCTAATAATCATTAATTGATAAGGTCAGAAAACATGTTCTACAAATTGAAGGCAAAACCAAAACCCTAACACAAATTACAAGAAAAACCCAAACACAGAAACACATAAACCCTAGTTTTTTTGCGATTATGGGTCTACCTTTTGTTGTGGTACCTTTTTTTTTCTGCTAGTCGACACTGCCATATGTGAGTCCACACCTGTAGCTGAAGATCTGTTATGCGAGTCCACATCCGTAGCTGAAGATCTCTTCTACGCGTTCACAGAAATGTATGAGGATACAGTGTTGATGAGAGGATTTAGAAGAGATTAAGGGCTCGAATGCTTTTGGAGTGAGTAGATGATATTTTGGAGTCGAGTCTAAGGAGAGAGTGAGTAGATAGAGAGTAGAGAGAGATGGTTTTGGAGTTTGAGGAGAGAGAATAGACTTTACTTTTTTTTTCGGGCCATTCGAGCTCAAAAATTTCGAGCTACAGATCATTTTTGATAAATTTATCACAAGATGATAGTATAATTTTCCAACCAACTAGCACATTTAATCGGTTGTGGTTGACTTGACTAAATAAGAATACATCGGGTATTCACGTGTCAGTTTCTCTCTCAATTATAGATGTATTGATTGTACCTAGTGGTCAAAATCGAGTTTTTTTTAATATTCTAAAAAAACAAACTATTTAGCGAATTAACCCACTTTTCAAACTATTTGGCATAGTAATCCAGTTTTGAAATCGCATCTTGAACATGCACTTTCAAATTGAAATTGCATTTTGAACATGCAATTTTAACTTGAAGTTGCATGTTGAAAATGCAATTTCAAGTCTACATGGACGAATTTGAAGTATAAGTTTGAAGTCTACCTGGACAATGGCTTGTTGATGTGGCTTGAAATTGCATGTTGAAAATGTAATTTCAAGTAATGAAATTGCATGTTCAAAATGCAATTTCAACTACACATCTCACACTTCGAAGTCGCTTCAGATGATACATTCAGATGATACACCTCTGATCTTTATCACAAGAGAGAGCTACCCTTCTTCACTTTGACACCCGACTCCCTCAACTCCTCCACTTCACTCGGACGCTGTACTCTGCCTTTCCCTGGACTCCAATACCTGACTTCCAAATCTGTCTATATTTCCATCTCAGGTAATGTGGTATATATATATCTGTGTACATATATAGTTGTATATTGAGTATATATGTATCTTGTATATATATATATATATATATATTAGCCCTTATATATATATATATGTGTGTGTGTGTGTATATAAATTCAAATTTAGGGACTTCTTTTTTTTTTTTTCTTGTTTGGACGAGGATTTAGGGCTTTTGACAATCTGATAAATGTTGTGAAATGTTGGAATTTGGGCTTTGGACAATCTGATAAACAATTTGAATGTTAGATTATGGGCTTTTGATTTGGGAATTGAGTAAACTTAACCTTACCTACCACCTGCTCGATGAAATTCCTTAACCAAATTTCCAGTCCTAAACCAAGTGTTTATTGCCTTGAATTACAAATTCTGTAATGTTAAATGGGTTTTTCTTTGTTTGATTAGTTTGTTTCTTGAGAATGAGTTCTTGGGTTTTTCTGTAAAGATGATACATCAATAAAACCCTAGGTGAGCAGTGATTATAGGATCCAAATGGGCCTAGGGTGAAATGGAAGTGGAGGATTTGAGTTTGACATTTTGTGAATGGGTTTATTATGCAACAATCTGGGTCAAACCAGCTAATGATATTAATAATGATAATATATATATATATATATACATATTTTAAATCATGAAATCGCATGTTCAAAATGCAATTTCATGGTGAAATTGTATTTTGAACATGACATTTCATATTCACTTAACTTACATGAACTTGCATGTTGAAGATACGATTTCACCATGCAATCATATTTTTTGAACCTGCGATTTTTAAAAGTGAGTTAGTTTGAGAAATAGTTGGAAAAGTTGGTTATTTACGTGAATACTTTAATTTTTTGAAATATTCACATAAAAAGAAACTTGATGATTTGGACTTTTGAGATTGTGTGACATTTATTTTTTTTAGTTCGCATAAAATGGAATTTTTGGCTTTCTATAATGGAATTTACTATCTTTTCAAATAATTTCACTTTTTCGAATCGCATATTAATAATGCAAATTGAAATTGAAATTGCATCTTGAAGCTGCGATTTCAGTACAAAATTGCATTACCTCCTAAAAAAACTCCAACTATAACGGCATTTTGGTGTTATTTGGTGATGCCTTGCACACACATACACATACACCCCATTGTACTGTTCCATACATGTTTTTTTATAATTGCCTGACTCATAGATATTTCATGATATTGCTAGGAAGGTTCTTTCTATAGTAGCATCAAACATGCTTTGTAATTAGTTACACTAGTTTAACCTTCTGAGATAATGTTGTGTCTTTTGTTTCCAATCTTGCTGCCAAGGTAATAAAAATATCGTCATCCGTTACATACAGAATTCTATGTCATTGTGGAAAAAGAATTCATGAAAACAAATTTCATTGAATT